ATCCAGTTATGGAAGCAAGATGTATCTGCTAACAGGGTAACCGTCCAATGGGTTCCTTTTGCTTGCTGCCCAGATAAAGCTGATTTATCGAGATGGGAACTGCAAGAGAGAAAGAATTTAATTCATGCAGAGCAAGCTGAAGAAGAGACTGGAGTTTCATTATTACTCAAATCAGCCTCCCCCCAAATTCTAAGGCTAGGAATTTTCGGGAGAGTTTGGCAGGCATGGGAATGGGTGCTGTTGATTGGTTGGGGATGCAATCATAGGGGTGTGGAAAATGGTCCTTGTACATGCTAAGTCTTTCTGGGTGGGGCCACAGGAATCTGAAAAGACATCTCAAAAGGCCACTCAGGTTCTATGATAGTGCTGTTATCTGCAGGAGTAATTGGGGATATTGTGAATCTTGTGTCCTCTGCAATAATGGTAGTTGTTTACATCTATACCTTAGCAAAATTCAGGCTCCTCTCATCCTCCTAACCTTTCATTAGTGGTCTTTTATTACCTTTACAAAGGCAGCTTAGTTTAGGAGAAAAGCTAAACTATAAACTAAATTTCTGTCAAAGCTAGCTTGGCCCAAGCCCAGGAACAATTAAGGGCAATCTGGAAGCTAAAGGCAAGATGGGAATTGGTTAGATCAGATCTCTTTCACTATTGTAATTTTCTTTTATAATTTTCATGAAGGCAGTTTTAATGGTGCAGCATAGACTGGGAGTAAATGAGAAACCTGATGGTTAGAGATAAGGAAATGTTTAATGGCTGGGAGGTTCAATGAAGTAGAAGTAAAAAGCATTGCAATGAGATACTTGAGCAGTACACTTGCAAGAATAGGATACAGTGGTTAAAGAGTGAAGTATTTCATTGTGCAACTTTAGAGTTGGTACAGTCTTAGGTGATGTCAAAGTTGAGGCTCTGCTTAGGGAATGAGGTAGCTCAAGTTGAGTGGAGGAAAATGCCATTGGAGACCTGAGGACCTGGGCTGTGCTACGGGTTGTGCCATAGATGGTGAAGTCCCATAGGACTATGAGAAGTGCAGCCCAGCCCAGTGACTCATGCTTGTAATCCAAGCACTTTGGGAGGCCAGGGTGGATAGATCATGAGGTCAGGAGTTCAAGACCAGCCTGGCCAAGACGGTAAAACCATTCTACTAAAAATACAAAAATTAGCTGGGTGTGATGGCAGGTGCCTGTAATCCCAGTTACTTGGGAGGCTGAGGCAGGAGAATTGCTTGAACCCAGGAGGCAGAGGTTGCAGTGAGCTGAGATCACGCCACTGCACTCCAGCCTGGGTGACAGAGTGAGACTCTGTCTCAAAAAAATAAAAAATAAAAAAGACTATGAGAAGTGCTTACAGGGAGAAGATCAGGAGGTTTGAGAGGTCACTACAATGAAGACAGTGAGATGGTTTATCTCAGTGTGATGAGCTTCAAAGAAGTAGAGTTATTTTATTTTTTCTTTTCATTTTTTTATAAGAGGGCAGAGGAATAAAGATCTATAAGAGGCACTCGTTATAAAGAAGAAGACTGCCCCTGCCTTCCAACCCTGAAGTGTGTGCAGTGTGGAGAATAAATATTGTAATCTTGAGAAACCCTGCAAAGGGAAGTGATGTCCTCAGGAGGCAGTCAGGCTGATGACAAAGCAAGGAGCTAGGAGAAACATTTGAACAGGAAACTGGAAGATTGAGGGGAATTTGGTGATGGTGAAGAGAGGAATCCCAGGGATGGCAAGGAAGCATTTGGGATCAAAATCAGGGTTGGGCTAGGAGAGAGCAGTTTAGGTGAACTGTACAGGAGATAGATGACAGACAATAAAAGGGGCTTACATGCCAAAGATAAGGAAAAGAACTCCGTGAGCCATGGCGATTTGTCCTGATAGGACTGTGGAGGTAGGTGTGCAGTAAATTAATTATCTACTGTGCATTCCTTCTACCCATGAAAAACTGATAGCAACTGCAGTGAGCACAGCCTTGGTTGGCAGCAATAAGCAAGTAAACCTTGCGGTCATCTGTGATGGAGGTATAGGCTAGGGAGGGGTTGGGTAGTGGTCCTTTGACCATCCCTTGGACCCAGGGATGAAGCTTTCAATGGCATTCACTGGTACTGTCTCATGGCAGGCAAATGGTTCTTCAGTACTGGCTCCTCTCTCCAGGGTTTTGTGATGGTTTTATAATACTTACCCACCTAATCTAGTTCTACCCTTTGAGGGTCACAAAATAACCTAACAACCACTCTTTTTCTTACCACCCATCAAATGGCTGTTAATATATCTCTGGGACTTCTCCTATTCTAAATCTTGTTTTGGCTGAATGTACATTAATTTTTTTTTTATTGAGGTGAAGTTTACATAACATAAAACAACCATCTTAAAGTACACAATCCAGTGACATTTATCGCATTGTATAACCACCATCTCTGACATGGTTTGGATCCATGTTCTCACTCAAATCTCATGTCAAATTGTAATCCCCAGTGTTGGAGGTGGCACCTGGTAGGAGGTGATTGGATAATGAGGGTGGTTTCTCATGAATAATTTAGTACCATCCTCTTGGTACTATCCACATGATAGTGAGTTCTCATGAGATCTGGCCACTTAAAAGTGTGTGACACCTCCCCACATCCCTCTCTTGCTCCTACTTTTTCCATGTGATATGGCTGCTCCCCTTTCACCTTCTGCCATGAGTGTAAGCTTCCTGAGGTCTCACCAGAAGCTGAGCAGTGTCAGCACCATGCTTCCTGTAAAGCTTGCAGAAGTGTGAGCCAATTAAACATCTTTTCTTCATAAATTACCAAGTCTCAGGTAATTCTTTATAACAATGCAAGAATGGCCTAACAAAATCTCTATCTAGCTCCAAAATATTTTTATCAGAAGAAAACTCTGTACCCTGTAAGCAGTTAGTTCCCATTCCCTTCTCAGCCCTTGGGAACCTCTAATCTACTTTCTGTCTCTATGAATTTACCTCTTCTATATGTTTCATATAAATGGAATCAGACAACATGTAAACTTTTTTATCTGGCTTCTTTCACTAGCAAAATTTGTTGACACATTGGATATGAGTTGTGAAAAAAAGAGAGGTGTCTCAGTTAATGCTAACAGTTTTGGTCTGAGTAACAAGGATGGAGTTATAATATACTGAGATGGAAAAGGCTGTGGGAAGAGCCCTACAGATTGAAGGAGAAATTCAGAAGTTCAGTTTAGGATATGTAAAATATGAGAGGCTTATTGAGCAACTAAATTTGTTTGGGGATGGAGATGTTGAGTAGGCATTTGGCTACAGGAGAATGGTTCTGGCTGGACATATAAATTTGGAAGTCATTAGCATTTAAATGATATTCGAAGTCAAGAGAGTCAGTTGGATCACCAAGTCAGTGAGTTAGACAAAGAAGAGCAAAGCAGTGATCCCTGGAGTATGGAGTACTCCATGGGTTTGGAAGTTGGAAAGATGAGGGAGAATCAACATGTGATACAGAAGAAATAGCCAGTGAAATAGGGGGAAAACCAGGAGTTGCCTGGTGAAGTAAGATGAGGATGGAGAATAGGCTGTTGGTGTTAGTGAAGTGTAGGACCTTGGTGAGAGCAGTCTCAGGGAACTGGTGTGGCTGAAAGCCTGATTAGACAAGCTTCGAGAGAGAATTACATGCTGAGCAACATGGTGAGATTCTGTCTTTACAAAAAATAAAAATAAAAAAATTAGCTGAGGGTGGGGGCATGCACCTGTAGTCCTAGCTACATGGGAGGCTGAGGCAGAAGGAGCACTAGAGCCCAGGATTACTTGAGTGCAATGATCTATGATCACACCAATGCACTCTAGCCTGACTGACAGAGCAAGATTCCTGTCTCTTAAGAGAGACGGAAAGAGAATTAGAGGAGAAGACTTAGAAAAAAGCCAGTCTAGGCATCTCTTTCAGGGTATAGTAGGAGCACTGGTGCTTTCCCAAGTCTCCCTGGCTCCAGGCTTGTCCCCATTTTACCATGTCTTCCAAGCTCCTGCCAGAAGTTGAGCTTAATGATCAAGAGCAGGGGATTTGGAACCGGTTGACCTTTGTTCAAACTCCCAACTGTGTCTCTTACTAGTTATGTGACTAAGGCAACTTTCTTACACTGTTGAGGCTTTTTAGAATGGGGATAATAATAATATCTATAGCGGAGAGCTGTTGTAAAGATTAAATAAGATAATAAAAATGGGGTGCTGAGTTTCATAGCTATTATTGTTGCTGTTACTATTTTCCTAAAAATGCAAATCTGATTTGCATTCGACTCACTGACTCACATCAGTAAGTCTTCCTTTTTATTGTCCTTCATCATATGGGTCCTAATTTCATATGCAGCCTTATCACCTTTTCATTTTATACTCCAGGAATATTAATGGTACTTGTAGGCTCCTAAACCTCTAAGGTCCAAAAGCTGGAGAGCATCGGCTCTCTTCAGGGGTTAACTTCAGAAAGCGCTGCTAACAAGGACCTCCACTAGGTGGTGAGCAAGGAAAGATGGAGGTGAAGGAACGGAAATGAGTCAAGCCCACTGCTTAGCTCTGCTAAAGTTTTGCAAACATCATAAATGTGTCTGAAATGCAGTTTTGCTTTGTAGTATTTGCTATTTCCAGGGGCCATCTACCACAGGTAGCCAAGAGTTAGCTCAGTGTTTGTGACAAAGACAGGGGAGGGTGGTGGAAGAGGAGGAGGAGGAGGAGAGAGAAAAAGGAGAAAGAGGAGAACGAGGACCAAACAAAAGCAAGAACAAGTAGCAGAGAAAGAGGAGGAAAAAGAAGAGGAAGAAGGGCAACAACAACGAGGGAAGGAGGAGGAGAAAGAGAAAAAGGAAGAAAAGGAGGAGGGGAAGGAAAGAAGGAAAGATACGTAGGAGAATGGAAGAAAGCATAGAAAGACAGGACGGGAGGAAGAGAGAATCTAGTCACACTACTTTTCTGGTCAGCAGTTCTTTTTTTTTGTCAGTGGGAGGCAACAGAGGCCAGTCTGGGAAAGGGGTGGGGAAAGAGGAAAGAGAAGAGAGGGGGAGGGAAAAGGGGAGGAGGAGGGCATGAGACCGGGTTAGAGAATTGAAAGGAAGCAAGGCTTTCTGGTGACATTCAGTGCAGTCTCCCTGCAGCACAGCACACTCCCCTTGGGCAAGAACCTGAGACCCCTTGTGCTAAGTCAAGAGGCTGAATGGGCTGCAGAAGAGCTAGAGAAGGACCAAGCAAAGCCATGGTGAGCCTTTGAGCCTAAAAGACTTCTTGATGCTCAGATAGAAACCCTTGGGGTTGTAGAGACAGGTGGCAAAGATAGCACCCCATTTCAATTCTGGTTTTAAAAAAGATAGAAATTAAAATTTTTCTCAGACCCTCAGAAAAGTGATCCTGAAATCTTTCTTCTCAGATGTGGTAATTTCCTCTTGACTTTGTCTCTGGGGAGACTCTTGAAGAGGTACTATCGAAATCAGATCTTTTGCAATAAATCCTATGTCTACATGAGAAGTGATACACTTTGGAAGATAGAATTTTAAGGTGTGCAGGAAATCTGTGACTTTGTCATTTCAGTTATTCAAAATGTATTTCTTTCTATTTAAAAAAAAAGAAATATTTTTGTTTCCTAGTGTTTGTTTGGCTAATTGTTTTAGGTATTTGAGGCACTGACCCATTATGATCAAGCGTGAGGCTGTAACATTAAATATAAGCATCAATAGTTAATTAAGCACCAACAAGACTTTAAAAATATACATACTAAATATTAAATAGTTTCATCTAATAGCTCAGCAGAAAAGCAGGTACAAAAATTACTGAACCAAAGAAACGATTCAGGGCAGTACTGATTAGCAAGTTGAAAGTAAAGCACAAAAGTAAAATAAAACTATGCATCAGTTCTGATGTAAATTTAAAGTACTTTTTCATCTACGTCTGAGAAACCTGTTACCTCAGACAGGGTTAGTACACATGTGTGTTTAATTTGAATATTAAGAAAGTTGTAAGGACCACCTCAGGGGCTGTAAATGTGTGGTTTAAGAGTATAAATCTAAATGTAATTTTATATTTCATTTGCAGATATTTCCATGGAAATGTCAGAGCATCCAGAGGGACTTATGGAACATTTTCAAGTTATGGGGGTGGACAATGCTGTGTTGTGGTATGTTATGATATTTACATATCACTAAGTCTATTTTACTTACATTTACTTTTCTTAAATATCCACAGGTTATACATAGTCTAAGGGAAAATCATTACACAGAGAGCTGTTAATTCTATTCCTTCTATGAACATCTCTTTTCTTCTTACCTTTAGATCTTCCCAGAAACTCCTGAACACTATTTTTAATCTACCAGGGCCCATGTTATAGGGTCCAAATCCCAACAACCCCACAAAATTCTTCAATTATAAAGGAATAACATTAATTAAGAAATCTCTTTAAGGCACTTACAATCTGTACCAAATATTTAGCACCTCATTTTCTATTTTTTATTAATAGTTCAGTGTACATTAATGTCATTTCTACAATGACAATATGAGCTCATTAAGGGATGGAGCTTTATCATTTTTGGTCCTCCCATTGACGTGACAATTTTTTTTTTTTTTGAGACAGAGTCTCACTCTGTCACCAGCCTGGAGTGCAGTGGTGCAATCTCAGCTCACTGCAACCTCTGCCTCCTGGGTTCAAGCAAATCTGCCTCAGCCTCCCAAGTAGCTGGAACTATAGGCGTGCGCCACCATGCCCAGCTAAGCTTTGTATTTTTAGTAGAGGCAGGGTTTCACCATATTGGCCAGGCTGATCTGGAACTCCAGACTTTGTGATCCGCCCATCTCAGCCTCCCAAAGTGCTGGGAATACAGTGAGCCACCGCTCCCAGCCTGATGTGACAAATTTTATATCTGATTCTTGAAGACTCTCCAGCAATAGCTTTGAACTTAGTTTTTCATTTCCTAGGTAAGCTAATGCCTTCTTACTCCCTAGCTTGCATTTTCAGCCCTAGCAGAGAAAATATGCTAACTCTGCCCTTCATATATTCTTTATGCCATGTCTGCATTGTGTCACATGAAAACTTAGTGCTGTCTTCCTACAACAGGCATTTTCTGAGTCCCTATAATGTGTGAAATCTATGCTAGGCACTGAGGATACAGCAGTGGACACAACAGTTTTTTCCCTCTTAGAACTTGCATTCTAGTGGAATGCTCATTCAAAGCTCTGCTCAAAATGTTTATTTTATGATGCTCTTTACCATCAATCATATCTGTTTCTTTACTGTATTAAATAGTGATTCACGTAGATCATACCATGCTTAGAATGCCATAGATTACTATGAAGTTGTTGTGTCTTTATGTGTTTAATTAGGTATCTTCAAAGCCCTCATATTTGAAGAATCCATATGTTTATTAAACATCATTAGTTGAGTCTCTTTGTGTATAGAACATGATCTAATCAATTTCATAATCCTCTATCTTTTGGCTTTGTAAATTGTTCTTTTTTAAAAATTATGCAGTGAGCTATATAAGAGTTGAGTGGTATACTGGGCTTTCCCAGAAGCAGTTCTTCCTATGATAAAATAAAATGTCTTTGATACAGAAGAGATTACTTAAAAGTACATCACTGTTCTTCCTGTCCTTATTACGCTTCTCCCATGGGTACATATGTGTTGGCTTTCAAGAAATTATTCCAGGATTTAAAAGTATAGTATAAATTGTATAGTTATAAGATATTATACTGTAATTAGTTGTAAATCATTAACAGCTACCAAGAAAAAGAAATATGAGTATCTAAAATATATTGGTTAAATTTCACCTGAAATAATTTGGAGAAAAAATTAATAAGAAAATAAACCTAGAAAGCCACTAAATTTTTTAAAATTAAATTTGTTTAAACTAGAACCTTAGATAAAAGCATTTTATAGCCAGAAGGTCTAGGTTCTACTTCAAATCTTCAAACAACTATTCTGTGGTCCTGAGACGCTCACCTACACTCTTAGGTTCTGTTTCTGCATCTCTATTAAGTGTCTCGCTCAGCCTGGAGTAGTGCTAGGTTCATTTTAGCTGTAACATTTTGTAAGTCTGCATAGATCACACTGTTGTCTTGCAGATTTCCTGGCACATCATGGAACCGACTGCTGGACTTACCATTATTCTGAAAAATCCATGAACTGGCAAAGGGCTAGGAGATTCTGCCAAGAAAAGTACACAGATTTAGTTGCCATACAAAACAAGGCAGAAATTGAGTACCTGAATAAGACCCTGCCTTTCAGTCATTCTTACTACTGGATAGGAATCCGGAAGGTAGGAGGAATATGGACGTGGGTGGGAACCAACAAATCTCTCACTGAAGAAGCAGAGAACTGGGGAGCCGGGGAGCCCAACAACAAGAAGAACAAGGAGGACTGCGTGGAGATCTATATCAAAAGGGCCAAAGATGCCGGCAAATGGAATGATGATGCCTGCCACAAACTGAAGGCAGCCCTCTGTTACACAGGTAGGGAGTAACAAGACAGCTACACTACCTCAGACTCAGGAAGGACCGCAGTTAAGAGAATAATGATTAATCACATGGAAAGGTGGGGGTGATGAGAACAGCTGCTGGTTCATTCTAAAATATGTCTAGCCCTCTGCATAATCGTGCGCCTCGTCACTTCTGAGCATTTTTGGTGTGTAAGATTTGTCTCTATGCACAAAAGCTATACCCCTAAGTCAAGCTACATCAAAACGATAGGTGTATGTAGGAAGTACGGAGGAAGAACTAGACAACCAGTGCCTTTGATCATAAGACAGGGGAGGAGAAGCTGAGAGCTGGGGCCAGTTGGGAACTTAGGCTCACATCACTTTAGTTTTCATATTGTGAAGTAGGGAGCGCGGAACTGCATGCTTCTTTCTTGGTCTAATCTTATATAATTTTAGATAAAAATGGCATCATCTTTGGTGTATAAATATTTCTGTAAATCTTTTACAATTCCAAAATAGCCAGGAATTTTCCAAGTGATGTTTTAATAGTGAACCGTAGTTAATTTGGTCTCTTGTAAATTGGACTCTACACTTTTAGCAAGTTTGGACTTTTTAACCTTTGTGATTTCTATCAAGAAAGGGATTGCCAAGAAATAATTGCCTGCAGAAATGATTGAGTTCAGGTCATCGTTTTACCTTCTTATTACATTATAAACAAGTAATTTCAAGAGTTTTGAGGTATCCCACTAAATTTCATATAAGCATTACAGAATATTAGTATTGGTAATTTCATTCCTAAAGCAAATAAATGTCTATGGCTATATACTTAGTATATTCTATAAGTAAAAATTTTAGCATATGATTTATGTTATGAATATACAAACAAACCTTTCCTGATTATTTAAATCATCTCAGACAAAAGGTTATCTATGTCCAAGTAAATGACTTTGAGTACTGAAATGTATTCACATTAATTTTTTTTTCTGACCTCCTTAAAGCTTCTTGCCAGCCCTGGTCATGCAGTGGCCATGGAGAATGTGTAGAAATCATCAATAATTACACCTGTAACTGTGATGTGGGGTACTATGGGCCCCAGTGTCAGTTTGGTAAGTCTCTTTCCTTTCTTTGCTTCTTCTTAAAATACAGTCACGGGAATCATTATAGCTTATGATGGAAGCTGGTTGAAACAAAATACTAGCCATTCTGAGAAATGGGAAGTTTTGATCAGAATGCTCTGCTTTCGCAATGTTGTTACTTTTCCGTAAAGGTTTCATAAGTCAGCATGAAGTTTCAATTCACTTCTCAACAAGTCTTTTTGAGTGCCACAAGGAGCACAGTGCTGGGATAAAAGCTGTCAGGCTACAATAAGGGATTAGCATGGTAGATTCCTGTTGTCAAGAAGCTCACAATCTAATGAGCTTGTTAGATTAATTAGAACTCTAAGGTCTGGAAGAAACTATGCCATTTATCATTAGGAGGCTGAGTTGCCAAGAAGGTAATCTTGCTTTTTCCTTCTAGTAGTCCCTTACTTCTTGCAGTTCTCCACACTTAATACATGTGCTCTGTATCTCATTGACTTTGCTCCTGGCCTTTTCTCTCATTTTGCACACGGCCAACAAACGTGTCATCTTTAAGACATAGTTCAAAGACAATTTCTTCTAGGAAGCTTTCTTAGTTCTGATAGCTCCACATATTTCTTCCTTACTTCTCCCACATATGTTGAAGTCATCTGTTCACCTGCCCATCTCCTCTGGTACTGTAAGCTTCTTGAGATCAGTAAGTGTCTTCTTTGTCGTCGCATCTTTGGGATTCACAAAATGCCTGGTGTATATCAGGCACTTGCTTGTGAGCCTTAATTGAATTGGACAATTTAATTTTTTAAAAAAGCAATGTTTGTAAAGAATAAATAATTAGGCCGGGCGTGGTGGCTCAAGCCTGTAATCCGAGAATTTTGGGAGGCCGAGGCGGGTGGATCACGAGGTCAAGAGGTCGAGACCATCCTGGTCAACACAGTGAAACCCCGTCTCTACTAAAAATCTAAAAAATTAGCTGGGCATGGTGGCGCGTGCCTGTAATCCCAGCTACTCAGGAGGCTGAGGCAGGAGAATTGCCTGAACCCAGGAGGCAGAGGTTGCGGTGAGCCGAGATCGCGCCATTGCACTCCAGCCTGGGTAACAAGAGCGAAACTCTGTCTCAAAAAAAAAAAAAAGAATAAATAATTAAAACAGAAATAAATTTAAATGTCAACCAACTGAAATGGATCTATAGATCTAACTCATTTCACTTGATCCCTGGGCCATGACTCCTTCCTAATACTCTACCCCTACCCCATTTTTGAACTTTATTTTTTAGCCCTTATATTATTGGTGTGACTATTTCACTCATTTTTAATTATTGATATACCTATTTCACTCATTTTTAATGTTTTACTTTTTTTCCCTCTTGGTTTCTGTCATCTCATTCTTTTCTTATTCTCTTTCTACCTGTGATCATTTCTCCTGGGATCCTTCATGGGCACTTACCCAGGACCATAAATTATTATGATGTCTCAGCTTTTGTCCTTTGTCTATTGCTCTTCTGACTCTAATCTACATGTCTCCTTTGGTCAAACTTACTGACATTTTTGGACTCAGAAACCTATATGATCTTTGGACTGACAAACCTATCTCCAGCTTTGAACTCAAATATGCTAAGGATGTCCTTTGGGATGTTCAATAGACTCTAAAATCAATTGTTCCCAGTCAGCTTTCCTTTCTGTACTTCTATTTCTTATCTCAGTATATGGAATCACCATTTGCATGGGCACCTTGGTATGAGACTCTCCTAACTGCCTCAACACTAATGCAGGTTAACGTTCTACCAATCTTTTCGACTTAGTGTTTTTCTAATTTGTCTTCCACTAAGACTTGTCAACTCTACTACCATTGCCCTCGTTATCTTTCTCCTAGATTCTTGTAATAGTCTACCAGATGAGTTCCACAATTTTAAATTAGCTCCCCTCAGAGATATTATTCATACTACAGGCAGACTGATCAATTAAAAGCAATTAAAACACATCACACATACATGACAATCTACTCATTAATTTCTACCTACTATTTTGCCCTACATGGTGAAATCTAAGCTCTTCAAGCCCCAGAGTAAGGCTTGATATATAATAGATACTCTTTAAATCAATGAAAAAAAGATAACATTTTCTCTTAGCTCCTATCTTTATCCCTAATGTCATCTCATATAATTCCAAATACAAAAATTCTTCTGATTCCTTGAGTCCATTCTTTACTGAAGTCTCGAGAGCAAGGTAGCAATAATGGCTGAAATTTGGGAGATGAGGAATAAGACATGAAATTTGTACTATTTACCAATGGCATGGCAGGGTCTAAAATATGAAGACTTTAATTTCCAAGTCTTAAATTTACCTTTTATACCACCAATCAGAAAAGGAAAATAGGTACAGTTTTTGGAGAGGGTTGTCAAAATCAAGAGTTAAAATTCTGGAACCAAGCTAGAATAGATGAAGACAGAATTGAGGTCAAAATGCTTCCTAAACTTTTATATTATCTCATTGCAAAGAAGACTTATTATGGAGACCTACTCTTTCTCTAAACATCCTACTCTAGTAGACTCAGGGGCTCTGATGTGATAGCTATCTCCCAACTGAGGTGGTCATTCCCAGTTACACCTATTCGAGTTTAAGCATTCTCCCTCCAGATAATGCCAAAGATAATAATATAAAGACTAGCTAATGTTTAATTAGAAACTGAAGTTGGAGAGTATAGCCTTTCTTAAAGGTACATGGTTATCAAGTGGCTGAGCTAGGATTCAAATCCAGACATCAGGTCCTCTTAACTCTTCCCCATACTGTTTCTTTGCCTATTGAAGTGATTCAGTGTGAGCCTTTGGAGGCCCCAGAGCTGGGTACCATGGCCTGTACTCACCCTTTGGGAGACTTCAGCTTCAGCTCACAGTGTGCCTTCAACTGCTCTGAGGGAACAAACTTAACTGGGATTGAAGAAACTACTTGTGGGCCGTTTGGAAACTGGTCATCTCCAGAACCAAGCTGTCAAGGTGAGTAACTTCAGACTAGAGGCTTTGTCATGGCGATCCTGGGCTTACAGTCAGAACATTCAGTAGAAGATTGCTGAGAGGTCAAACTTAGGAGCCTAATTTAACCTAACTTAGTTTAACCTACTGTGATGTTTTTCAAAGGACTCGTTCTTACTAAATTTTTTTGAAAAACCTCCCAAACAAAAAGTAAAAACGAAATACCCCGAAGTCGTCTCACAGTTTGTAGTATGATTCATAGGAATACAGCATGGTTATACTGTTTTTTATTTTTCTCATTGTCATAGCATGAATAGTGTCTTGCTGAACCTCAGTTAAATTTTGGTCCTTCTCCTCTCAATAACACCTACTTTATGTGGTGTCCTACTTAACACCAACCAATTTCCTTCTCAGGGTAGTAGAGGTCTTTCTTGGTTATTTTATTTGGCTTATTCTTAAAATCACCTTTTATTTTTCCTTGTGCATAAATTCTTAGGAGAATAACAACTGAAAAACAAAAACACAATCTCTTGATCTTTTTACGTTTGAAAAATTGTAGAATTTTTTTTTTCTTTTTTAACTGCCAACCCTATCCCCATATGGGAGAAAACCAATGGCATCTGAACTTGTGAAGTTTTGGTTAAATTTTCTACAAGTATGCTCCTGATGCATTAGTTTAAGTAGTTTAATTCTTAGAAGTGCTATCAAAATCCTTTATTGACATCACAGAACTGTCAACCCACCTACTGAATTTTATAGAAGTCGGACTTGCTTCAGTGACTAGGGATGTTTTTCAAAACTGCTTGGGTAGATATTAGAACAGGTGAAAAGGTGGAGGTTTCTGAGAATATTCCATAAGCATCCTTGATGCAGAGGCCATGTGGATTGGTACTTCCAGCAGAAGCGGAGGGTCACCTTAGCTGTGGCAGCAGTCTGGAGTAGCCACTCCTCTCCCCACCAGCTTTCAGTGCTTCCTTACCTTCATCTCTCATTCATTATCCACCATCATTCTCTAAGAAAACAAAGCCTGGAAGCTTTATCAGAAGTAATGCAGTCAGGTAGCTTTGGCTAAAAATCCTTTGCTCAAGGGAGAGTCTCTACTCAGAAATACTGTTTTGTCTTTTTTTCTTTTTAATTGAAGTGATTCAGTGTGAGCCTCTATCAGCACCAGATCTGGGGACCATGAGCTGTAGTCACCCACTGGCCAGCTTCAGCTTTACATCTGCATGTACCTTCAGCTGCTCAGAAGGAACTGAATTAATTGGGGAGAAGAAAACCGTTTGTGAATCATCTGGAATCTGGTCAAATCCTAGTCCAATATGTCAAAGTGAGTAAGTGTGTCCTCAAAAACTGGAGACTTAGACATGGAGGTGATAGATAAGCAGATGTGAGGAAAGACATAAGTAAAGGTTTACATTTTGTTTTGCTAAGTAAATGTGGCTTAAAAATAAATTTGCTTAATTCACTGAAAATCTTTGGCTGCTCTTCCCTCCTCCTTTAATGGCAACCATTTCTTTTTTTCATTCTCACCTCTTGCCATCTTAACTCTTAAGATCTGAACTCACTGATTTACTTTTTATCCATTATTCTATTCCACTACAACCTAACATCTCTTTTGGCCCATTGAAATGCCTCTAAAAGGTCACCAATGACCACCTACTTCCCAAACTAATGGATACTACTGAATTATCGCTAAGCCAATGTCCCCAAATCTGCCTGTACATGAGAAGAATCATGTCTTCTTCATCTTTGTATACCTTCCACCTGACACAGTGCTTGGCAATAGGTGCTAAAGCAAATGCATGTTAAGTTAGCATGTGAAAAGTTACCCATGTCTGCCCCTGAGACTATCTACATGGATGACAAAAGTCTTTATATGGTAGGATCCGCAGAAGCTGTCAGAAACACTGATCTGTGTGTGCTGTGTGTCCAGGGCCAGGGAGTGGAGTGGGTGAGCACAGAAAGGCAGGGAGGCCTTTAGCAGAGGGCTGTGTATTAGGCCTATCAGAGACATTTCCCTCTAAGGCCTAGCTAGTGTTGATTTCCTCCTCCTCTTCATCAAGCCAAAGATGCCCTCTGTCTGGAGCTTCTGGGAACTTGATCCTTCTCTCCATCATATATGGATGTGGGGATCAAAGCACCTTGAAAAGGTTCATCAAAGTAGTGGGGAGAACTAAGGATAGAATCAGTCTCTCTGCCAATATGTAAAAAGTAGTTTCCTTCAAATGTTGGTATCCGGAAACAGATATTTTTTTTAAACCAGTGTTTTTAAATAGGGGCTCCCAAAATGAACTTAGTTTACACTTACAAGAGTATCTATAAATATGCCGCTTTACTTATTTGTGAAGGTAGAGGGAAGTGGTAGGACTACCTCATTTGAAAGAGATTAGTGCAGGTCCTTGGCAGGTAAACAGGTGCTGATTTTTGCACAACTGCTTTAAAGTAAAAGCATTAATGATTTTCTTTGACTGGTGAATTATCCAGTTCAGATCACTGGCTTTTATTTTTCCTGAAGTTGTGTTAGGCTTTTTAGCTCTTCTCTGTGTTTCAGAGTTCCAACCATTGAACAAGTCCATGGAGCTAAATACAATAATGACCATCATTCTTGCCAACATTTTTAGGTGCATTCCCAGGAACTCTGAACCACAAATCTGGGGATTGAGATTCTGTAGGCATTGGACTAGTGAGGTTGGTCCAGTCTTTGCCTATGCTGTAGACTTATCATAGGCCTTCCCATGCCTGTTTCCTCATCTGTCAAATGGCATCACATGGGCTACTACCAAAAGATGTAAGAAGGAAAAAAGTCAAATATCATGAGATGGACTAAGGAAATAATGCTTGTGGTCTCATGCTATGTGCCTTACTGATTTCTCTTTCAGAATTGGACAGAAGTTTCTCAATGATTAAGAAGGGAGATTATAACCCCCTCTTCATCCCAGTGGCCGTCATGGTTACTGCGTTCTCTGGGTTGGCATTTATCATTTGGCTGGCAAGGAGATTAAAAAAAGGTATGTGCCTGACCCCAATCATCCTGTCTTTATTTTACCTTGGTCAATGATGGCAGAACTGAGGGCTGAGAACAGGATGGGTTATTACACACTGCTCCCTGGGATAAGGTGGCTATATCTAAATAATTTTAAGGACTTTGAGGCTGTAAATCACCTTAACAAGAAAACTATTTATTTCCAAATTCTGAAATCTTTTAATAAGTGTTTGTAGAATCAAAAGAATAGAATCAAAGTCACCTGTATTTAGTGAGGGGTGAGCTGGCTAAGGCTGTTTTCTAAGCAAGGGTAAAAAAATTAGTGGGTTTGTTTTTAAATTTTTTACCTTGGAGTCATTTCTGTACAAGATCTCAAACTGATAACTTGAAAACTACATACTCCTGCGGTGGGAATCAGTGTGGGGCAAACAGGAAACAGATAACGGGCAATTACGCTAGTTACAGTTATGCCAAGAAAGAAAACAGAAGCCCCCAAAATCACAGGTTTTGTAGGAAGCTCAGGGTATCTTTTTTTTTTTTTTTTTTTTTTTTTTTGAGACAGAGTTTCGCTCTTGTTACCCAGGCTGGAGTGCAATGGCGCGATCTCGGCTCACCGCAACCTCCGCCTCCTGGGTTCAGGCAATTCTCCTGCCTCAGCCTCCTGAGTAGCTGGGATTACAGGCACGTGCCACCATGCCCAGCTAATGTTTTGCATTTTAGTAGAGACGGGGTTTCACCATGTTGACCAGGATGGTCTCGATCTCTTGACCTCGTGATCCACCCGCCTCGGCCTCCCAAAGTGCTGGGATTACAGGCTTGAGCCACCGTGCCCGGCGCTCAGGGTATCTTTAATGTAAGATTAAATAGTCTTCATCTGTGGGCCTGGCTCCATGGCTCTAACCTGTAATCCTAGCACTTTTGGAGGCTGAGGCAGGAGGATTACTTGAGCTCAGGAGTTCAAGACCAGCCTGGGCAGCAGCATGTGAAACCACATCTCTACAAAAATACCAAAAATTAGTCAGGCATGGTAGCATGCACATCTAGTCCCACGTACCCAGGAGAGTGAGGTGGGAGATCACTTGAACCCAGGAAGTTAAGGCTGCAGTAAGCCATGATAGAAGCACTGCATTCCAGCTGGGCAACAAAGTGAGACCCTGTCTCAAAAAAAAAAAAAAAAAAAAAAAAAGTCTTCATTTGTAAAATATCTTCCAATATCACCAACTTACAAATAATTCTGCTTTCCAAAAATTTTAGTTGTAGGTTGGTCGTTTAAACATGGAGAATATTTTTCCTATAGAGACAATGGTAGAAATAATGGCTACATTCCCAGGCTAAACCTAAGAGTCTTTCTAAGACAAAATATAGTTCATGCAATTACAAGGATAAAAGTAAAAAGTCCTAAATCTGTATGTGTGTGTTTTAGGGTGTGTATGTGTGTGTGTGTGTGTGCGTCTGTGTGTGTCTGTGTGTGTGTGTGTGTGTCTGTGTGTGTGTGTGTGTGTATACACATACGCAGAGAAAGAGAGAGACAAAGAGAATTTATGGGCTTTTTTTGTTCTAATAGCTAGAAAAAGGACACAGGTAATTATTTAGAGCATGGTAGCCAACGAAGTGACCAGAGTCTTTACCCCTATTCTTCTGTCCTCAGATGAATCTTCTGACTCTAGCGCTTTGTCCCCTGCCCTAGTAGTCTTAGTTTGAGACTTTGGCTCCTTTATTTTGCGAAAGGAATAAGAAAGGGCTCCAGAAACATGTGTCCTGATCATGGACTCATCTAGACACATTCTGTGCTCCTGGCATTATCATTCTCTGATTAGTCACTACTATTGGCCTGTTTGGTAAATGAGAAAACCAAGACAATGATGTTTTAGGCCAAATCTCAAAAACCCCATATCGGCAGGCCCCAGAGTCAGAGATTAGACTCCCATCCAGATATGTCTTCAAAAACTACTGGTCTTCAGATTTGTGAACTGTTTTCTTCCTCGGTTGGAAGAATTTCCCACCTAAACCAACACTCAGGGTTAGATGAAGGCATGAAACTGAACACATGCCCCCCTAGTTCCCTTTTCTTCAAAAAGAAACTCTCTCAGTAGAAACAGGTTCTTACTCATCTGTTGCTGTTAGTTTCACTGTCCCTAAAAAAAAAAAAAAATTATGTGAAGTTAAACAAACAGAATCTACCCTGCTCAAGTGCATTTGCTCATCAGCAGGCTGAAATTTAGAAAAGATGTCAAATACTAGTCTTTCATACTGTAAAGGATTAAGACAGTAATGGAGCACTGTCTAAGTGCTAGGACCTGAACGAGATACTTCGAATGTATTTTATTTTATCAATCCAATGAGGATGATATAATTATCATGCCTCTTCAACAGATGAAGAAACTGTAGTTTAGAGAAGATAAGCAGCTGTTCAAAGACACACTACTATACACGTGGCAAGATAGGGCTTGCACCTCGGTGGGATGATTCTAGAATGCCAGTTTACAGCCACTGAAATATATTGCCTCCCAAATAATCCTTTCTGCTCACAGAGTTTTCTTTTTTAAGTTATCTACTTATTTATATTCTGCTTTTTTTCAAAAAGAATGTGAGATAGTACCAAATGCATTCAGTATAGCAAATTAAAGTTAGTTAAAAAGTAAGAAAAAGAAAGCTAAATTTAAACTGAAAATTTAAACTTGGTTCCTTAAAAGAACCAAGGTTGAAGTTATGGCACAAAATGTAAGTCGCGGAGTCCTATATGCTTGGTAGGAGAAGGTCTCAGATTTTGCTCTGAGTTTCCTTGCAGCCAGTCTAAGGAGAAACATGTGATATTCCTTGTGTCTTTAAGATAAAAAAATATTAGTTACTCAGATGAGGCTGTGTAATTCCTACCAACAAGACCAAAGTGCAATTCTCTTGTGGATTCTCATAGAGAAGATGCTGTGAGGTATAAGGGCACATAGTCTTATAGTATTAGCAGCTGTCCCTCAAGGGAAGAATCTGTAGATAGGATGAGATGGCAGATTGGGAAGGGATAAACACTTGAATGAGCATATTGGGTCTCGCAACCAGGCAATGTAGCCTACACTTCTGTCTTTTTGAGTAGCACAGAGAATGGAATAGAACCCCAAGAGGCACCTGCATCAACATGTCTGTCCTGTTTATCTACCACTGTTTATTAGAACACTAAGCCAGTTCCTCAAATCCCCTTTGAAACAGATGGGGTCCACCTAACAAATACCTAATATACTTCAAAAGTCAGTTTTGAGAGTGGGAGTCTTCCTTCTCTCCTACTTTAAAACTTTAAATTATCTGATTTTTGCTAATGTCATTTCTCTATTTTCTATTTTTAGGCAAGAAATCCCAGGAAAGGTAAGTTTTATCAGTGGCAAGGAGTTTCCATGTCTGTTGATCCCTTCTCTACTTCCTTAAGTTACTTCCTGCTCTAGCTAGACATCTTAACCCCATAGTAATTTATTTACCTGGGTTCCTCATCCAAATAACCAGATAAGATGATAAATCTACTAGCTTCCTTTTAAAGCTGTGCTTTTTGGTGCTAGCGGAGCTGAATGAATGAATGAACAAGTAATTCACTATTAGAAAAGGGCAGTTTATGCAAAGGGAGATTTTTCTGGTTGCCTCAGAATTTTCTCTGAGGCTTAAAAACACTGTGCTATGTTCTTTTTGTTCTGGCTGAACATGAGGCCCTAAATATATTATTTAAGGAAGAGTCAACTGAACAACCATTTATTGAGAAATGAATAAATGCTTGTTCAATTGAATATTTGCATTCAATTGCTCTACTGGGCATTGACCTTCAGAAATGTGGGAAAGGTAGGGAGCATGAATTCTTCCTGCAGCTTCCCCAAGGAGGCAATTATGTTTTGGTTTGGTCTTGAAGCTCAAATTTCTTCAACTGGAGAAGTAGCATAGTGGGAGGACACGCAGACACGTCAAGTGCATGGCCCATCTGGCAGAAATGAAGATGGTAAAATATTTCTCAGTTTCTGGGGTTTAGTGACTTGCTCTGGAATTTTAAGAATGAGAGTGTGACTTTGGTGACATATTCAGTATCCAGCTGGACAACTGAGCTCCCTTTAAAATGCTAGAAATGAAGTGAAGTGATTTCTGAAGGGATTAGACTGGTGTGGGCAACCATCCTACCAACCGCAAACTTAGTATGGGCCATTGCATAGAATGCAAAGGAAAAAAGTGGGGAAAGACACCAAAAGTCAGATCATAAAGTAATTTATAAGCCATGTGATATGGGCTTTATCTTGAGGTCTTTTGGGATATCACTAAAGGGGTTTAAACAGTGAGTGGCCTTGCCTCCTGCATCTTGTGAAGGTCACCCTGCAGAGCAGTATAGCGAGTGTGGGAGACAAGTGGCAAACAGACTTGTTTTGGAGGCTTTTGAAGTTATTAGGTTAAAACTGATGGTACCTGTCTAGGGAAATAGTAGTAAGAATGGGCTCATGAAATCAGAGGAGGTGATATTAACTGAATGTGTCTGTTAATTGGCTAAAAGGGAGAGAGAAGAATAAAATTATCATCTTTCTGACCTGAAAACTGGCAGATGGTAGTACTGTTTACTTCTGAGAAGGGAACATATAAGAATGAGAAGTTTTGGAGGTAAAGATTGTGGGTTCAGTTTTATACTGAGCTTTGGGTGTCTGCGCATCATCCACTGTGGTTTGCTGTGTCTATCCACAGCACAGGGCCACGTTGGGGAAGGAGATGTGGGTTTGGGTCCCTCACATTTCAGGAGGTAACTGCCATCTCAGGAATGGGTACAATCATCCAGGAAGGGTGTGAATGCTCCGAGAATGGAAAAGGAGAGAGCAGGAGAGCCAGGGGAACATCATTATCTAACAAGTCAGCCAAGGGAAAGAGAAATGAAGAGATTGCCAGGCAGGGAGAAGGAAGAGGAGGAAGAGTGTGGGGTCATGAATGCCAAAGAAAGAGAGAAAGGGGAATGGTCTCAAACATTGCTAGGAGAAGCAGTAAGTATCCCCTCAATGCAACAAGGGTGTCAGTGGGGAGACCATTTTCAGTGCAGATATCAAAACAGAGGTCATATGGCCAAGTGCTGAGCATCACTGAGGATGAGAAAGTAGAGACAGAACATGCAGTCAGCTCTTTTAAAAAGTTTGGCTGTGAAGAACTGGGGCAGGGGTGACTGGAGGAAGATGCTGGATCAGTGGAGGCTCTTTTTATTCTTTTTAATTACTCTGTCTTCTCTTTAATAGTGTAAATGGAGTCTAGTGAGGAAAAGCTTCTTTCTCTGGCCTGGTCTCCCTATGTCTGTGGCAGGAAACCCACAAACTGTGAAGATTTCTTTCACACTCCGACCTACTGAGTGAAAGTATTTTCTGGCACAATCTACCCAGAGCTGTTTTCTGGCTACAGGAACCACCTCTTTTAATTGTCACTATCAACTAGATTTTTTTTTTAAGATGTCCTTGAGACACAGGAAGAGGTATTGGCTGGAAGAATATTAGTACTAAGCTAGTTACCACGCTAAGAAAATTGCTATACTAAGTTTAATGGTTCATTGATTTTTTATAATCAGTCAATTAATAGTCGGTTATTGAACATTTTTTGTGTTGGAAAATGCTAAATTTGCTTGAGACAAGAGGAGTACAGCTTGCCCCTGATTTCAGGGAGATTATTACCTAGCTGGGGAGTTACGACAGGAATATAGAAAGGAAAAATCAGAAAAATACAAGGCAGAGTGTGGTAATGGCCAATGAGTGCTATATTTAAGAAGGAAAAAAATCACTTGGCTTGGTGATTATAGAAAAGCTTATAAAGAAGGTGGCGCCTGGGTTGCTTTTGAAGAATAGATAGGATTCAGGTTTATGGAGAAAAGCAGGAAAGGAAGGCAGTCTATAGGGAAATGGTGTCAGCAGTGGTACGGTAGTGAGACTATGAAGGCATTTCTCAGGGGCCAGTGGGCAGAACTTTCTAGAGCCCATGGCTTTTTGAGGAGTTATGGAATCAAAGTTGTAAAGGAAGGCTGGCCCCACCAACGTAAGTCTGGAATGCTTCACCAGATAGCCTAGAAGGGCCTAGCAAAGAGCAATTATTTGCCTAGTTCTCATTTATTGACCAAGGCTGTATTAATTCATAAGAATCACAGAATTTTAGGTCTGGATAGGATCTTGGTGGATATCACATTCAAACTTTTCTTTAGGCTTTGAGCAAGTGACAGAGTTAGTTACAATAATCATAAACCTTTATCAAATATTAATTCCATGTTGTACACAATTATGAATGGTTTACATGCTTTAAATCATGAAATATGCCTTGAAGTCTGTGGGAGAGGGTCTATGAACATCTTCATTACAGGTAAAGAAACAGGCACAGAGAAATAAAATAGCTAGCCTGAGGTTACAATAAATGGCAATGGTGAGATCCATACTCATCTGGATCCAGGGATCATGTTCTTAAAGCATATGCTTTTAGAACTCAAGACTCTTGACTACCAGCTTAGAGTGGTAAGTCCCAGATAACTCTCCTTTTCCAGTAATGTGATTTTTTTTTTTTTTTCACACTGAAACCATTGTGTGATGGCATTGAGGAAGGGTGGGGTAGAAGAAGTAGGGTGTGTTTTCTGAACAAGTCAGAGGTAAAATGAATACTATCACACTAAACACTGTGTGTTGTTTTTAAGTTCTTGGGCTAATTTTCATAGTAGTTTGTATTCATTTCCATTAGTTTTTGAATGGCGAATGAATGACTCCTTGGGCATTTGTGGTTTCATTTCTTGCTGGGTTATTTTGACTCTTCTGCAAACTGGCTCTGTTTATCACCTCATTTGGTTTCTACTGTCTAAATTCTGGCAGGGTAGAAGCTACACCCAAGATACACAGGAAGATATGATGCCAACCTCAGAGGAGGGCATATGTGAAATTTTGTTTTCAGAAACATTTCTTGTCTCTATTTTGGCAAGCACTTTTGCAGCTGCTGAACTGTGGTTTACCCTGACAGTTCATCATGAGAACAGCACCTCAGAATCTAGTTCTCCCCTTGAAAGGTGATATTAAGACATACCACATTTTGTTCTCCCGTGTCCTTTCCAAGAATAAGACAGCTGTGTCGCACAAAAAAGTGTCATTTATTTCCTTAAACTAAATGTGTTACCATCTCATTAAATTATATCCCAGGATATAATTTATCAGGAGTTTATAATTACCATCATTTCGTGAGTTTTAATTTTCTCCAATTTCATTTTGCATTTAAGCATGCCTTCTAATTTCTTGACTTTCCACTGCTCAAAATCAATCTGCACTGTCCTTCAAACTCATTAGATCTGGAGACAAAGACCGTACCACAAAAATTTCTCCAAGTGTGGTCTGTGGGCCAGTGGCATAAGCATCACTAGAGAGCTTGTTGCAGAATCTCAGACTCCACTCAGACCTACTGAATCAGAGTCTGCATTTTAACACCATCTCTGAGTGGTAAGCACATGAAAGTCTGAGAAGTGCTGCTACAGGGTTTGCTCACCATTCATTCATGTTCAAATGTTCCTGAAGGCTGGCACCTTGCCTGAGATTTTCAGCTGAAAGCATTTCCTTGCTCCTCTTCTCATCTCGTAAATATTTACCTTTACTACTAACACTCCAAGTTTTGCAAGTGTTAAACTCTTGAGTTTACTATCTTTTGTTTTTCTTTCAGTATGGATGACCCATATTAAATTGTCCTCAGTAAAAGAAAATTCTTGGAATACTAAAAATCACTGGATCCTTTCAATTCTCCCATGGAACCTTTTGCATGGTGGCACCTCCTACAACAAAGATGAAGATGTTTCCTTTACCACATCTGGAAAGATTTCTACCTGACCAACAGCTCCTTCTGCTTCCATTTAGCCCCTCATTTATCCCTCAATCCCCAGCCCACAGATGTTTATACAGCTCAGCTTTTTGTCTTTTCTGAGGAGAAACAAATAAGATCATAGGGGAAAAGATTAAGGTGGAAAATGAAGGTGGCTGACTCTGCTCTTTCTTGACTCTTGTTTCCAGTTTCAATTCACTGCTGTACCTGATGACAGACACTTCTAAATGCAGTGAAAATTTCACACGTCTATGACTAGGGACTTAGTTTTCTTGCTGATCAAATTTCACATCCTGTCTTTTGTATACTGTGGAGCTACACTCTTAGAAAAAGTTCATAAAGTCTACGCTGTCCTTGCTGTCTAACTCCAGTGAAGTGACGGGGTCCTGCTCAAGTTGAAAGAGTCCTGTTGCACTGTGGCCTCACTATCTGTGAATGGAGGCCATCCTATTTAACTTTCTTCAGGCTCCTCACCTTCTTTGGCTGCCTTTCTTTTTCAGTTGGCTGACTTCCATATGTAGTGTCTCATGATTGCCAAGTAAAAGAAGCGAAGAGAGAAACAGCCTGCATCTTTTTTTTTCTTTTTTCTTTTAGTTTGGGGATTTTTTGGTTTCTTTTTATGAGATCCATTCCTATTTCTTATAGTCAATGCTTCTTTTATCACTATAATTAATAAGAAAACATCACTGAAGTGCTAGTTGCAAGTGACATCTCTTTGATGTTATGTAGAAGAATTCAAACAGGTAGAGAAATTCCTTGGAAGAGTTAAAACAGGTAGAGGATGCTCTCCTTTCCTCTGCCCTCCAAACTTCTTATCCACTTACCTAGATTCTACATATTCTTTACATTTCATCTCAGGCCTCCCTCACCCCCACCGCTTCTTTTATAACTAGTCCTTAACTAGTCCAACTCACGAAGATCTCCTCTTCCTGGCTTCTTACTGAAAGTTAGCCTGTAACATGCAATTTTGCATTTGAATACAGCCTGCTTTTTAAGTGTTACCTAGTTTGTCTAGTTTGTTATTTTGAATTATCACATCATATGATAATATGTTTTCTCCCCAGTAAAATTATATGCTCCTTTAGGGCAGAGATTGTGCCAGATCCCTGGAGTGTCAATAAATGAATGTTCAAATAAAGCAGAAAGAGCATACATTTTGTTTTGTTTTTGTTTTTTTAAATGGTGAGAATTTGCACATCACTGATGATATAAGTTTCGGCAAACCCTCTTTCTCTGTGGCATCTGATGACCTGGGAAGATATCACCTAATGTCAAGAGCTGAGTTTTTATGAGAGAACAGGACCCTGTCAGCAGCTAGCTGGAAATACCTCCTTGTCCCATGGCCAGTACAGATTTCATACAAATTTGCACACATTATGAGAATAATTTTTCGGTAATGATTACATTTCTCATTCTCAAAGACATCTCAGATTCTGTATTACAGCAAGAGCTGTTGCGAAAGAGTCTCCCTTTGGATATGCAAGCCACATTCGTGTAGTTTAGGGTACATCCCCTGGAGTTGTGCAGTGCACACCTGCACAGACTCACATGGCAACCCTGATTGAAAATGTTTGTTCAACTAAAACATCAGGGCCAAGGAACCCAAATGGACACTATTCCTTGTAACTACGATGTATATAGATTTAAAAATAAGTTCTATATTCACATTCTAGGATTCCTATATGATCTTAGGAATTACATAATAGTATATCCCATAAATAAAGATTCATAATATAAATTTCTCTGAAAACCTTGGTCATAACCTCCCTGAGACTTACTTCTCATATCCATAAAGTAAGAATGAAATTTGCCTTGCTTACCTCACAGGGTTATTGTGATGTTCATTAAGTATGAAATCGCTTTGTGAACTGAACCTTAAACATGAACTTTTTTTTTTTTCCTCACCCAAATTTCATCTTTCATGCTTTCTTGGTATACGATTCTGGCTCTTATCCTAAGGCTCTAACAGATGGAGCTCTGAGTCCTTATCCTGAGATTAGGAACCAGGAAGTCTTTTATTTGTGTTTCATTAGGAACCCAGCCCTCAGATTTTAACTGCAGAGGGTCAGCTCTGCCACCCGCACTTCTGCTTGAGGGAGGTGGAAGGGCCTGGGACAGGGAGTCAGCGGCATCAGTGGAAACCCTGCCTCCGTCTCTGTGATGTGACCCGGGCCAGTTGTTATTCTCCGAACTTCCAATTTACTTATGAAATGAGGATCCCATGAACTTTCTCACATGGCTGTGTGAACTCCTCTCTCCCTTTATTCAGAGTACCAAGTTCATGAAATCAACAGAGTCCCAGGAACACAGAATTATTCATTCCTTCTGATTTGTTCACCCAAAATCAATGTGCCTAGCCTATATGATTATAGTTTCCTACAGAAATAGTTCACCAAATTAAAATCTGATTTTTGCAAAACCAGCTGGGCATGGGAGCACACACCTGTACTCCTAGTTACTCAGGAAGCTGAGGCAGAAGGATGGCTTGAGCTCTAATGATTTACTGAGAATAGAATGAGGCAAAAGAGAGGTTTCTTGTCCACTTGCACTGTGGAAAATGAATAAATGTACTCATTAGACATCTATGTTCTTTCTCTTAAGCTTCCTCCTAGCTGCCAGCTAACTTCTGTTCTTCCCCTTAAACTTCCTCCTAGCTGCTAGCTGGCTTTTCTCTAGAGTTCTTTTCTCCAGAGTTCAAGTTCTTTTCCAGTTTCCCTCTTTTGACTTCAGCAATTTGACTCTTCCCTTCTGTTCACATGTGCTATTCAGGAAAGAAAATCTGCCATCACCAAAACAGCCTACCCGCCATCTACAACAAGGGACAGGGAAATGAGGGAGCAGCAATGAGATCTTCCCTTCACTTTGGCCTTTGTGGCCTTGTCAGATCCAGTGGGCCCTGACATTTTATGAGATACATACAGCCTTCCCTGTGGGACTCTGAAAGGGTTTTAGTTGGAAGTAACATAATCATATTTACTTGACATCTTGGTATAAAGCTTGATCTGGTAGTGATGTTTTCAATACCAATTGTTTTAGTAGCAGTAGTAACCATAATGATGATACTAGTAAGTAATGCGGTTTCTTTTAAAAGTTTTTAACTCTTGGTGGGGCGCGGAGGCTCATGCCTGTAATTCCAAAAATTAAGGAGGTTAAGGCAGGAGGATTGCTTGAAACCAGAAGTTTGAGACCAGCCTGGGCAATACAACAAGACCACATCCCTATTTTTTTAAAAATTAGCTGGGCATGATAACACATGCCTGTAGTCCTAGCTACTAAGGAGGCTGAGGCAGGAGGATTGCTTGCACTCAGGACTTTGAAGCTCCAGCGAGCTATGATTGCACCACTGCACAGCAGTCTGGGTGATAGAATAAGACCCTGTCTCTAATAACAATAACAATAACAATAATAATAATAATAATAATAAAGTTTGTTAGATTAAACTTATCTTGGCATACAGTTATCTTAGTAAGCATCCGAATCCCTTTTCAGGAGAAAGCTACCTTTTCTTGATAAGCCTCTAATGTAGCAGGTGAGACCCTACAGCTGTAGTGTTGACAGGAACTCAAACAATAGTAATATGTAATTAAGGCATTCTGTAGAAGAACACTTAGAGGAGTTAGTTTTCTTTGCTCCTGTGAGCACATGAGAATAAAACAAAAGAGAAGGTAATGCAAGCAGAGAGAGAAGAACTAGAAATGTGAGAAGCTGAAGAACTTTGGGGCAGGGGGTGGGGGCCAGCCTGGCCTCTGGTGACTTGTATGGATTTAAACAGTGTGACTCCCCTGCATCACACTAACCTTCCCTTCTGTAACATCCTACAAGGAATGCAACCCAGACCTGTATTTAGGCTGCTTTGAAGGAGTTTAAGGTGGAGGAGTTGGTTCTTTAATTTGGGAAAGTAGATATGAAGTAATAGCCACAAAATGAAAGGTTGGGACAAAATATTTTGTTAGAAACAAAATATTTAGAAGAAAATCAGTGCTCTGACGAGCATGAGAATTCTCTGAGAATTTTGGGAACTCTTAGAAGGTTTGGGACCAATATTTTAAGTTCATTTTATCTGGATTTTAGCGGGTAGAGAGATGGTACCTGACATCTGGTTTACATTCCTCAGAGCATTTAATCCCTGGCCATAGACGGTATTACCCCCATTTTAAATTGTAAGAAACTGAAGCTCAGAGATATTAGTTTGACTAAGTTCATATAGCTAGACAGTGTCTATAGAGTTATTGAGTGTCTGTTTAATAGGTAAGGAAAGGTAGTGTAAAAAGAGCTGTGTGTCTAATGCCATAGAGAAAAGGAAATAAAAAATTATTTAGAATAGATTGAGTTTCAGACACTCTTGCTGAAGTGGGTAGTCCAAAAGTATGCAGCCATTTCTCAATTCACAACAAAATGACTCTTGAAAGCCATTTTGAGACAATAGGCTATGTCTCTTGATCTCAGCATCTTCAGAACTGGCCCCTTTATCAGGAAGAAAATAGTTCAAAATGGGTTGTTCAATGACAAAGGACACAGGCATGTTTAGCAAAAAGAGAGGCTTAAGGCATATGACAGTGGTCTTCAATTACCCGATTAAACATTTACTGAAAACGTACGACTGCAGGAAATATTACCAGGGTCTGTGGGCACGTAAGGGTGGAGTTCCTGTCCCTGGGATACAGCATCTGGAAGGGGAGGGAAGGGAAACATGCTGAACTGCAAGCTGAGGCTGTGTGTGCCATGCCCATGCCAAGTGTGCAAGCTCAGAGATGCTGTGGCTCAGAGGAGGAAGAGACCTCCTGGCAAAGGGCAGCAGAATTCAGAGACAAACTTACATCCTAGATTGGGTTTAGTTAGAAACCAGAGGGAAAGTCTAGGATCTTAGACAAAGGCATTGAAGTTAGAGATGTCAGACAGGTTATACTGTCCTGGCAGAGAACTGGGGATGAAAAACACATAGAGTGATTTTAAACTCTAGGGTACAACTTATAGTTTGTATTCTAGTTTCTGGGAAAACTTGAGCAAGAGTGGGACAGGATCACAGTGGTATTCTGGGAAAATTAAGGTGTCAGAAGGTTTAAGAGTGGAAGTAAATGGAAGCCGGGGAGACCAGTCAGTGAATGTTATTATTCGGGCGTGATGAAGAGGGTGGGGCCAGGAAGGTT